TGGAGTTCACTCCAAAGCAAGAGAGGCACCGACCCCAGCCCCAGACCAATCAAGAGTAAGCATGCACCTGGAAGGAAGCAGCCAGGGGCCTCGAGACGACCTGAGAACCTCTCGTTTCACGACTGTTTTCACTGGGATCCAATTGAATCACTAACTTTTTTCCAGGTTGGTACCGTCACTCTGAACCTGCTGCGGCTAGAACATGGAACACTTGGAGAAGACATTGCCATGTTTCTCTTGCTTACTGGATTGTCGGATGCGAAGTCCACCACCAGCTGACGCGGAGCCCAGCTTCCATGAACTTCCCCCTGCTCTGCTCTGCGCAGCCAGGACCGGCCTGGAGGCCTTTGACGCTGCCTCCCGCCAGGAAGAGCTCCGCAACGGCCGCGGCCAACGGGAGGCCGCAAGACCATGACTTGGGAGGTCGGTCTTTAGATAGAAACGCCTTGAAGTAGGTGGAGACTGGTCTTTGCAGAGCCTTCTATCATGTTTATTTTAAAGACCTTTGTTTACTTTGGTTGGGGCTCCTTTGGACAAAGATGTGAGACACATAAGAACTGAATCTACCTGTTTTTGCCCACTGTTGGGGGCTCCCAACAGCACGAGGACTGCTGGAAGACCAACTCCCCAGCAAGTGAAATTCGCATTGCGAGCGTGGTGAGTGGTGAAGTGCAAGTTTTCTGGCCCTGCCGATGAAGTGCCCAAACCTTCATGCCAATCAAAATGGCAGCCCCGAAGGTCCAAAAGATGTCACCGTCGACGCTGAAATCCACCCTGTCTCAGGCGCCGTACCCTCCGTGGAATCCCCCATTTTTGGACGAATCAGACATCATCAATAAGTCCACCGGGCGATGCCACCAGGAGCAATCCTTCCGAACCACGGAGGGCTTCAGCAGCTTCAGCAAGGCCGCGGGAGAGCTTCAGTTGCCCTTTGAGATTGGGGGTGGTGCAGGATTTCGTGAGGCCCGTCTCGACCAAGGATGTGCACCCCTTGGTGATTTCGACATTTGAGCGCAGGTCTTTTTAGGTCAGCCGTCGCCCTGCACACCAAATGCAAGAAGGGGGCGAAGAAAGGTGGCTTCATTTGGCTCTCAATGTTTTCTGGGCTCTTCTAGTCGCCAGCGGAAGACCAGTTTTAGATTTCTCCAGACACCAGCTTTACCTCTGGGTCTGGGACGAAGTACTTCCACCATTCTTTTGATGCCAGGAGTCGGACTATGGGGACATGGTGAATTGGCTTCGCGTGGGTACCCTCTTTGGTGCCGGGAGCCCATCATCTTCTTTTTTCTTGTTTCTTCTTACTTCTTTTTTGTCCTTCGATTCTAGTTCCTTCTTCTTCTTCTTCTTCCTGCCGCTTCTTCTACAGTAAAATTTCCATTTGCCATGTGGTTGGGCATGAGAGGCCAAACTCCTGCCCTCCCACGCTCAACTGAGGAGCTCGCCCTACAAAATACGGAGCCGCTGGGGAACTCAGGAGATGCTGGGAGAAAGGGCCTGATTTTGGGGCATGGATGTGGATCAAAGCAAGAAACCACAAGATATCAATCTACAGCAATAGCGACCTTCAAGTGTTTTGGGATGGTGGTGCGGGATTTGTTGTGCTTATGTTATATGTGCACGACTACGACTCGTATAGTTTCTTTACATGTCGTTTGCATGTTTGCAGATCTATCTGGTTTGAAGACGATCATGTGTATGTAATCTATTGTTATATATATAATTACATGTCAGTGCGCATTTGTCAAAACGCATGCAGCGGAGCAAGCCGCACGTCAAGTGGAATACCAAGTGCCCATTCATGTCCGTTGCCTTCGAGCAAAGGCTTGCCTTGGCGCTTAAGAGAGTGCCACTAGCGTCAGAGTGCGGGGTGACTATTGGCTCAAGTCGTTTTCGGGTGACGCTTGTGGACTCTCATCTGCATCAATGGCTCAAGTGGGTGGATATTGAGATGCAAGCTCTTCACTCAGTTCATCTATATAGCTAAACCAGCAGGTCTTGAATTGATTCATTGATCTTCTGCCTCCACCCTGTTCAATAGTTGGCGAGAAGCCACCTTGCAGTGAAACCAGCTAGGCGGAACGCCACCATCATGCTGGGCACTCGGGTCATCCAAGCAGCATATCGTGGCAGTGCCCCTCTATGAGTCTATAAATGCTGTGTATATCCATGCTTGTATGTGTGCACATGCGCACACGCACATGTATAATATATACATACCAGACAACGACATATCTATTCAATTCTATATCAGATTCCCAATCCCAACCCCCAAAAGTGGAACAAATGAGAGAAGAGCTGCTCAGTGTGGCCCACTTCTCTCAGGTGTTCCCAAGACTGCGAGCTGCTCCGGCTTCGCAAAGAGGCCGCATTGAGCAGGGCCGGGCTGTGGTCCAGTGCTCTTTGATTGGTGCTCAATGGATGAATGTCATGCTTGGGGGTTGAGCGCCTTGGTGGACTGGGCATGACTTTAGTTTTAAGACCAGGAGACCTATACATTTTAATCTATTCTTCTTTTTCACGGGCGGTTTTGGGAGGTATTTGTGTGACTTGGAGCGCTGTGGGACAGCCGGAGCGCTGTGGGACAGCCGGGTGGTTGCATTCCACCGGTTTGGGCACTCAAGGACCGGCAGAACCTTGATCAAATGACTCACTTTTTCAAGGAATTTCCCTCCGTCGTTGGCTCTCCGACTTCGCCCGGGTGTTCCGCCGTGCCCGCGGGGACTATTCCGGTGGGACGATTCCGGTCGTTGCGGCTGGCCAGGACTATTTGAGCGCCATCCAGGGCTCCAAGCAGAAGGCGAAGAGATGAAGGGCAGAGACAGGGATGTGACTGGTCCAAAGGCTCTACGAATCAGCCCTCGTGGACAAGCTAGTTGACGGTTCTTGTGAGAGTCTTTGGAAACCAACAGGGTCTTGATGGCATAGCCGTTGGCAACGAAAAGAGCCAAATTGAAGATAGTGCCAATTTCCAAAGAAGCCTGCGAGTGATGTCGTTGATGGACGGCACCTATCAAGAACCACAAGGGAAGACAGGACACCTGTTGAATCTACTAGGTTCTGGCAGGCTTCCATGGGGGTACTCATGGAGGCTCCAAACACGGAACCCTCGAAAATCCGATGCTTGCGGTTCTGACGTTTCACCTACCTGAGATCTACTTCTTCGACCGCTTCTTGTTGCCCTTCCGCGAGAATGCCGACAAGCGTGCACAAGGCAGCCGGGCGGGGTAGAGACAGGCCCTTTCCACAGAGGGAACTCGTGGTTCCTGGCAAAGGGGCGCCAAATAGATTGGAAGGCATGGACGCACTGTTCAAGGCAGTGTTCCGGTTTCTGTGCCTTTCGTGACCCTTGGTGTGTATTAAAGATTATTAAAGCATGTCCAAAAATGTAGAAGTGGAGGTTGTGGGTTGATGGTAAATGGACTATCTAAGGACTATATAGATCAATGATTGCCGCATTGGACCTTGGATCGGCAAAAAACCGTCCATGACTCCATCCATCTATGCGACTTCGTGGCTTACCTTTCACCAAACCTTTGACCCTGCTATGTCTTCTATGTCTACTATGTCCGTCCACAGGAAATTGCAGGTGCTCAGGTGTGCTCCATTCGCATCAGCTCAGCTCCCTGAGTTCGAAAGCGGAGACAGCGCAGGTGCCATGACGCAGCACCCGTCCGGGGTCCCGTGGATGGGGGTCCTGTCCTGTGCATGTTGGATGGTCATTGGAATTGGACGATCGTTGCCGCGTTGTAGAACTTCCCGGTGTTTGGTACTGTGAGATGGGCAGGGAATGGGAGGGAGCTGGGTTGTGTTCGCTGCATCAGGTCCTTGCTCTTCGCGGATGAGATTTTTCGTGATGGCCTGGGGGCGGAGAGAAGAAGTGTGAGTCCATACTGCGGTGTCGTCTTTGTTCAAGCCAAGACTGCCATCAAGTCCTAGATTGCATAGCCTGGGGCGAACATCAGAGATTTGCTGGACCCCGCTTTTGTTTTTGACGGGGTGACCCTCAGTGTGCGAGAGCAGCCGCCAGGGCAGACGATCACCACACAGGGCGTCATCGCGGAGCCCAAGATCTTTGTCTTGGGGGCGCGGTGTGCGCGTTCGCGCAGCGCGGGGCAGGGCAAAGCCAGTCCAAGGGTTGTCACCTATGTGCATCCCAAGTTGAAATGTTGTACCCGGATACCCTCCTGCTCACGGACATGGAAGCGGAAAGCCCCTTTTTGTGGAGGGAAGTTTCGTGTTAGTAAATCGGAGTGAAGGACCTCAACTCGGAACAGTAACACGCTCTCTCGCAGGCATCTGCCCGGGCCGAATTCTGCAGATATCAGAACTCTGGTCAAAGACCCAGTTTCATCAAGCGCGGTAGATTGATAGATAGGGTGTGTCTCATTACCAGTACTATATACAAGTCAGATTATCACCATTTTGGACGTCATCATCCTCTGAAACTGGTAATGGGACATGCCCAAGGTGTGCAATATTTTGCGCATGTAGGGACTTCAAGATGGGTCGGTCAAGCTAAGGCGATAATCCTGCATACTTCTTGAGCAAAAGGCCACAGAGTGCCGGGCGCCTCAAGTCCAAGGTAAGCTAAGATGCCAAGAGGTTTTTCAAGCTGAGGTGATTGTTTCGTCTTGGTGTGTGGTGATTGTTTAGCCAACGGACGCAGAGAACATCGCCGAGCTGAAGAGCTTTTATGACACTCCCCCCTTTTATGCACCGGGCGCCCGTAGCCATTCTTGGACTTGAGCTTATGCAATGCAAAGCAGTGCTGATTTTAACGTTGGCTTGACAAAACATGGAGACCGCAGCCAGGGCAGAACCCACAGATTTCGCTCCACACTTTGTTGACATTCAGACCTTCCTAGCAGTCCAGTTTCCTTCAACTATATAGGGTTCTAGGATTTTCAAACCTCCTGCATCTAAGCCTACCGCCTCCGCCGCCTCCTCCAAACATCCTCCATCACGTCCACGTGGCCCACATGACCGACTCGAGCATCGAGGAGCGGCCCTCCTTCGCCTGGGGCGACGTGCAGCCCTTCGTCGAACGGCACTTCTTTGGCGCTGTGGAGCTGGTGAAGTCGCTGCCGTCGGAGCGGGATTTGAACTTCCTGGTGAAATTGGACGAGGAGCTGGCGGTCTTTAAGGCGAGGCGATGGGAGATCTACCGGAGATCGAGTGATAAGAGCAGTGAAGGGGTTCAGGGAAAGAAGTCTTTTGGCAATACCAAACACCTTGGTTGTTATGCAGGCGGTTTGCCCACAAGAGGTTTTTGGGATGAGCCCCAGGAAGCGTCAAGGGAGGAGCCAAAGCCCTTCAACCCAGGTCCGTGGGATTCTCGAATGGCCGTTTGGGGCCCGAAAGGCCGCCTTCGCCTTTGCGGACCGTCCACCGGCGATCGCCTCCGCCGGTGGCCTTCGCCTCGCCGGTGGTTGGCCAGGTCCACAATCCCACGGATCTGCAGGACTTCGTGGAATGTCAGTGCCTGGCCCTGGAGCACGTCGCCCAGCATGGTGCCTGCTGTCAGCGTTTGCTCCGCTCCAAGAGCAAGGAGTTTCTCATAGCCTTGGAACTCGAAGGCCACCGGCGATGCATGTGCAGAGCCCTGAGTTTTTTGCCCGGGCGTATGTTGGCAGAGGTCGCGCAGGAGATGGCGGAGAGTGGGGAGAGATTGGCACAGTTGTTTGATGCGGTTGGGACGGCTGTGGGGCAGGTGACGGCAGCGTTGCTGACTTTTGAGCATGCAGCTGCAGAGCGCGAGTTTGTTTGGGACCTCCAGCGATGCTCGCAAGTGGTTGATGCTCACATCAGTGATGTTGAGGAGGACAATCGTGCTTTGTTGCAGCGTGTGCTTCAGTGCCAGATGGTCGAGTTAAGGAATTTGCTCCCGCGACTTCGGCGCTCGATTGTTCACAACGACCCGAATGACTACAATCTGGTGGTGAATGGTGGGCAGGTGGGAGTTCTGGACTTTGGAGACATGGTGCACAGCTACACTTGTGCAGATGCTGCGATTGGCATGGCGTACCTTCTGTTCCACGTCCCTAGCAGTATGCCTTTGGTGGAGGGGGTCTTGCCTTTTGTTCAGGGCTTTCATCGAGCCTGCCCTCTGGAAGAGGTGGAAGTCGAAGCACTTTTTGGTTTGGCGGTATGCCGTGTTTGCACCTCTCTATGCATGTCGGCACATCAGAGCAAACTGGAGCCCGACAACGAGTACTTGCTGATCAGTGCCAAGCCTGCGTGGAGGCTCTTGACACGAGTCGATTCAGAGAAGGTTGAGCATGCCAAAGACATTTTCAAGCAGAGTTTGGGACTTCAACCTCGAAGCACTCACTGAGGCGCCAAAGGTCTGCGGAGGAGCTCGCCACTGCCACCTCTTCCCATTGTGGTAATCTGTTTGGGCAGAACCCTTGTTAGTTGTTCGGAGTACAAGTCACTTGCGGGGGGCCCATGCCAAGTAAACAGACTTGGCAACCTTCCCAAGCTGTTGCCGTGTACCTCTCATATCTCCTGTCCTGTATGGTCCGTCAGAGCACTGCAGTTGTGTGAGATTCAGAGATTCACTCAGAGCAGTCACAAAAAAAGGCTCAGCTTTGGCCTAAGGCTCCCAACCAGAAGGCAGGAGACGGCAGTGGGGTGGTTTTCCGATGGAGGCCTTCATATCACCAACAGTATCCAACAGTGGTACTTATTGTCATTGTAGAATGTGTTGGATGGGTGTCCACCCTTCTTCTCGTCACATCTCGATTTTATCTCGATCACATTCCGCACAGGAATTCTGGTGGTCCAGCCACGTGTCTATCTATACTTCATACATACGTAATTACACATAGATGCCAAGATCAACCGGCCAAATCGTCCGTTTCCTTCCCTAAGCCGCTCGTGGGAGGCGAATCGTTGCCGCGCCCTCCTGCGGGATGACCTGGAGCGTTGCCGCCACGATCAGGACCGAAGGGAAGTCCAAAACACGAGTTCCCAGATTCAGGTGTTCCTCGATTTGTTCAGATGTTCAGATCCGGAGTTTCAGCTGCCACAAAGCGAGAGCGGTCGATCTACTCTTCTTCGAAGAGATTTTGTTGGACAACAAGCTGAATTAAAACTAAACATAAAACCATGAGTAGCCCACCGTTCAGCTCGAGTGAGATCCGTGGTGGTATAGGCCCCTTGGTTTATCACAAGACTCTCCAGTGCGAATCTTGGCCCGAATCCGGATGTATTAACGTGGGATTCACGGTATATAACTAACTACGTTTGGTTCTCCTGCTTCAATCTTTTTCCAAAAGATGGAGAGCTCGCTTTGCGGCAACCAACGCCTCCTCTCAGGAGTTGCGGCACTGTGCCGCGGTCTTTCCCACAGAGGAGGAGGGGCTACAGCTATGCCGGCAGTTGTCCGGCGATGCAAAACGGGAGCTCGACCTGACCAACATGTTTGAATGCAAGAAGTTGGCAAGAGATGCAAGACCAATCAGACAAATATTTTTGCATATCATATCACATATCATATGATATGTTGTTGTGGATGCTTTTGCAATTCTATCTCTGGGGTCCAGTGCCGCCCGACCTCCCGCTTCAGGAGATGGAGGTGTGCCATGTCCTGAAAGAGGGAGGTGCCTGCCTTTCGGGCTTGTGGGTGGCTTTTTGGGAGGTCCAAATTTGGGTTATCTGACCTCTCAAACTTAACTTGCCTTACATCCGAACAAGGTTGCACTGCACTTGGCCGATCATGCTAAAGCCAAGACATGCTCAACCCGATCTGCAGGGATCTTCGGCACGCTGGCGGCGGTCGCCAACGTGGGCCCGGAGCCCTTTTCCATCGCCGGGCAGCCTGGAGCACGGTGGGCTGCAGCTTGGACCCCGAAGGTCCTCCATATACTGGGCCCACTGGAAGACGCTCGCGTGTCGGCAGGGTCTTCTGCTTTTGGGGGACGTGTGGCGAGGCTTATTACATGAAAAGTCTGACACAGCTTGAGTAAAGTAAAGATAGTAAAGCTTGCTCACTATACTCTGATTGCTATTACTATTTTGTACTTTCCATGGCGATTTGCATCTACTGTTGTAGTCCATGTCGTTGGTGGCACACCATTTGGAGAGTCGACCGGCACCCCCTTGAGCCAACCTGAGAAGCGGCCCAGGTGGCGCGCTGCCCGGACGAAAGCTGCACGATCTACACTTTAGATGGTTGGGGTCTTGGGGGCACCTTTGACAACCAAGGACCGGAAGCTGGAGTCCTTCCAGGTAGAAGAGGGATTTGTCGGGGTGATCGTGTTGACCTGAACAAGATCTTTGAAGATCTTGCCAGCTGGATGGACATGGGGCAAGCATGGGCCAAGGGGAATTGAAACCAAAGTGCCTGCCCCCTATGTCCAAATTCTGCCAGGAGTTGCCACATAGAGGTGGCAGATGATTGGAACCACCGACCACCACGCCCAAGGTGCTGGGATGCAGAAGATCCATCCGAAGCTCTTGGAGTCCTGTCGCCCAGAGGGCCGGGTGTGGGGGGCAGGGGTGGGAAGAGGCTTTGGCGCGAGCTGTGCACCTGGGTTGCCAATGTGTCAGCGTGTCCAGAACACACCACGGTGGTGTGTTCTGGGGTCTGAGGGGACATGCAGAGAACAAACTGTGGAATCTCCAAGCACTTATAGAAAGCACTACCTTGCAGAAGCTTAAGATCTTAAGTTAAGCTGACATCGGTAATTATTCGGGTGCAGTGCATACCAAAAACATCTTACCAGGTTACCATCAACGGCCACAACCTTGCGTGACCCTCAAACTTGGAAACAAGCCTGGCCATTCCTTCCACACTCCCACCCTCTCCATTCTTTGCCAACACTCTCTCCAAGGGCCCTGCGCGATCTCATCGCAGAGGAACGCTTTTTTTTGGGGCCAAGGGACTGGGAGTCGGATGGGCGACGATCGCTCAGAGCCTCAAGCAGGGTTGACGACTGCTGGCTTTCACATGATTAGGCGCTGGGCCGGCTTCGTCCGGTGCCAGGACAATGCACTGCGCACGCGGCGCCTGCAGAAGGATCCCCTGATCCAGGTGGGGTGGCAAAGGTTTGCGCAATGTCCTGAGAACTTGGGTCAGAGTTGTTCTCTGGATCTTGAAACCGAGACACAAAGGCAGTTTGTAGGCAGCATCGAGAAGGAGATGGAAAGAATGACAACGTCGACTTTCTCCTGCTGACGTGGTGCAAGATTCGTGCCAAGCAGGTTGAGCATATACAACAATCAAGATAGCTGTTGACCCTTGCCATGCCATCTTACGCCACTAGAGACCTGGTTACAAGCAGACTCAAGCAGATGACATGGTCAGTGCCCTTGGGGCTGGATCCTCGGATTGCGAGACATGGGTTCGCCCAGCTGCCTCCTCTTGTGCAGATGGTGGAGAGGAAGAACTTCCACTTTTGATGATGCGGAGGCCGCGGAGGCCTCGGTGGGGACTTGAAGGTGAACCTGACGGGACTGCTCGAATGACACTCCTTGGAATCATCATGGAAGTGGAAAACCACCGGTTTTGTGGAGGACAATTGTCATCCCAGGGGCCATTCCATCCACTTCCATGATAATTCCATGGAGTGTAGGCAAGAGGTCCGTCTCAATGAGGTCCTAGCTTTCCTTATGGCTATAGTTTAAGATATTTGACTTGACTTGTATTGGACGCTACTAGGGGCTCCTGGCACTACTAGGAACAAGAAGCTACGAGCAAAGGGCATCGCTACGAACGAAGCATGATGCTACTGTGACCCAGCGGCTCTGGCAATTTCCTTCGTCAATGGAGTGGCGCGCAACAAACCAACGGTGAACTGTGCAAATTTCATCCAATATACTCTCACTCTCACATCCACCGCCACTTCATTTATACCGTACCTTTTTTTATGTTCTGATACATAACTACAGATATTTTTATTATTCGTTGCCTTCACGAAAAAATAAGTAGAATGAGAAAAATACAGGTTGAACATAGCTCCAGGAAATCTTAACATCCATTATGTAATATAAATCCGATGAAGCAAGAAAGATCACGTTAGAAACAACGCGCAAACCCCAAACAATGAACCCCAACCAACCAAAGGGAAAGAAAGGGCTTGCAAAGTCTAACCGGTGCCGATTTTTTTTTTGGCCTGTGGGTTGGTAGACGCACCATCCTCAGGTGGCTTGCAACTCACTCCATGTTCCAGTGCTTGGGTTTTATGTCCCATGTGCACACGAGGGTGTTTCTGGGGGGGCACTTCTGTAGTGCTTGAGGCTAAGATTTCTGACCAGACTGGTAGAGCAACTGAGGCGACAAGACGATCACCCGAGTGGCCCTCAGAAGCATTGAGATATTTGGGCAGAACAACACCACCTGCACGCCACATGAGCAACATAAGCACGAACTGCAGATCTCCCTGCAAGAAGTCTGACTTGAAGCTGTAGCCGCAGCCGCATCAAGAGATCTGACATAGAGGTTTCTCAAATGTCTAAGGGCAGGTCTGACAGCGGCGATGTTTGACATCGACCTGCGAGCTCCAGACGTCGGCCTCCCTCCTACTTTTCAACTTAGGTGGCCCACAATCTTCAACCACCCATGATCAGGTCAGCTGAAGACGTTTCGTCGCGAAGGCCTCAGATCACCACCCCGTGGGCCGTCAATCCTTCAGGCGATCCACAGCGAGATTCAGGGTACCTCGCACTGGGCACCTAGCTGGTTGGGAGGGTCTGTGAAGCTGGGAGCCAGATGACTTCAGAGTCAGGGTGTATGCCTGTATGCCTCTACAGGTTGAGTCAAGACCTTCGTTGATGCGAGACGTGGGAAAACTGCAGCTAGTCTAAGAAGCTACCCAAGAAGAACGCAAACCTCGGTTGTTCAGCGATCATTTTCCCGAATCTTCCCGCCACGCCGCGCTGGGAATTTTCCAGGGGTGCTACTCCAAGGGTTGTGAAGAATGGCTTTGTGTTGGGACGTCGTGTGAGGCGTCGTGTGGAGCCCTCGGGGGGGGGGATAAAAACAGTTCGATCATCGGATGGAGGTTATGATCACCCTCTCTGGATGGGGAAGGTCCGGGGTGTGGGAGGTGCCGTTCTCACACACGGCTTGCACCCAAGTTCATCGCTCCTTCACCACGCGCGAAGGTCCAACAAGGCCTCAGGTGTCTGGAACAACGACAAAAGAGTGCGCAACATGGGTGGGGGGCTTTCAAGATTTCGACCTACAGTTGGCCCACGTCGGCTCAAGCGCGGCACATCCAGACTGGGCCCTTGCGAGTTGCAAGGGTGCCCAGAGAAAGGAAGTTCATGGAGCTGGCAGTGGGGCTGGCGGCAAGGGGACATGATGCCCCAATGTGTTGCGAGATGGTGGAGCTGAACCAGCGAATTACACCAGCCAAACGTTTGGTTTCTCCCGAGGACCTTGGGTCCCCCCCCCTTTGAAGGCCGTTCACTTGCCGCAAAACACCAGAGAGACGAAGGACATGACCCTGACCATGGTCGCTTCCCGCGTCACTTGCCAGTTGGCCATGGTCAGCATTTGCGAAAGAAAAGTCTTGCATTCAGTTATGTTTCTATGTCCGTTCAACCCGGAGCACAAAAGCGCTTCAACGTCAGCCTTCCGCAACTGAAACATGTGAGCTTCTACCATCTTGTGCCCATCCACTCATTTTTGGTCGACCCATGTCTGGACCAACCGCCCGTGCCGAGGGCTGTTTGCCGCAGCAAGGGGCCCTCTCCGTCTGGTTTGGGGAGTTGGTAGGTGTGGGACAGGTCAAGCCATGGTGACTTGTCAGGACGAGCCTGGAAGAATATAATCATATGTCTTTCCAGAGCCCAGATTTGCGTGGAATTCACGTGGCTTCGCCTATGTACTTTCTAGCCCTCCAGGCCTCAAAACTATGGTTTTCAAAGGCAGGTTGATTAGTATGTAACTGTTTGTGCTGGGAAACCCTCAAAATGAGGGCCGTGCCTGTTGTCCTTTCCTCGTTCGTCCCCCTGCCTTTCCGGTTCGTCATGTCAGGGGAACATTTCAATTGCTTGTGCGCAAGGCGCGGTGTATGATCTCCCGGGAGTGTAGTGCATGCTGGTGCCACTTGTAGAATTTGCAAGGGCCCGACAGGCTCGATCTAGATGGAAGCGAGCCAAAGATGGAACCTAGCACGTTAGACCCCTCATCCTGACAACCACGATGCAGGTCAAAACTGAAGTCTCATGGAGGCAGGGATGAAGAAGCTGCAGTTGCTCATTTGATGGAGTCAAGCTTGTCCTCTCGTAGAGTTAGAGTGCGGCCAAAAAGAATGTGGCAGAGCAAACCGTAGAACATCGTTTCGTCTCGTTTCTGGCTGGTTTCGTTTTCAGATGCTTCTTTTGGTGACAGGTTTGTTCACTGAAGTTTTGGCATGTTTGTTTGTTTGTTTGTCTTTATGCATCGCTCGAACATTACAGTAGTATCCCGTTAGTAGGAAGGGATCTGGGATCATAGTTTGATCTAAGAGCGCCATTGGCGTTGGTTCGGACGCCACCTTCGGACGCGTCCTGTTTCCTTGGCGGAGTTTGAAGGAGCTGATAGGTCCCCATGGTTGGAAGGAGCTGGGCCAAAGGAGGCCTCATTCTTGGAGAGACGGAGGTTTCACTGCAAGATTTCGACGGGGGCTGCTTGACTTGAATGGCAATCCCTTGATCTGCGAGCCATTTCAGCGCTCCCTGTGACCTCACCGGCTGGGTTTGTTGGGGCCCACGTTGGGCTGGTTCTTGTGGGGAGGTGACGCTGCTGGCCGAAGAGAACCTCCCCGAGGGGTGTCTCCTGTCAATCCGCTCAGGCGGGCAGGGCGTGGCATGGGGGATGAAAGGCCCCCCCTAAAAAGTCCAATGTCTGGTAGTGTATTACACTCGCCTTCAGCGTCCTCAGGACCTCTATAGAACTGTCGACAGTTCTATGCAGAGTGTTGGTGATGAATTCTCTTCACGGGGTTGTTGCGAATCCCCTCTCTCCCTCTCTCTCTCTCTCTCTCTCCCCCTCTCTCTAAAACACTTGGAAGAATGTGTGAGGTTCGGGCTGTCAGCAGTCAGCACTTGCTGAAGGGTTGCTTGACACTCCCCAGGCAAGGGTTACACCGGGGACTTCTCGACTAACCATGACTAACCCCACAGTGCTTGCACAAAGTCCCTTGCATTAAGTTTTGAGCAGGTGGTGTGAAGGATTAACCAAGATAAGAATCAGATATCCAAATTTTCTATGCAAGATGTGGCTCGAGTTCCTTATTTTCAACCCACCGGATTCCAGCCCAAGACCAGCCATTGCTACTTCACCAGCCATTGCCTCCTTGTCCACTGGGTAGCCACTGGCGTAGCTCCCCGGAGGCGACACCGGTCGCTCTCCGCCTGTGGAGGCTCTACACGGCGACAGGCGGCTGTGGACTCCAAGTTCAAGCTCTTCTTCCCCAAGGGAGGCAAGCCTGGAGAAGATGTCAAGGCCGGCCCCGAGGGCAGGAAGGGATGTACCGGGTTTGGGGTGCCACACCTGAGCGGAAGGGGTGAGCTTTTTGGACCATGCACAGAGGTGGAGGTGGTCGTTGATTGGAGCAACTTGTCACTGGCTGAAGCTTCAGAGGCCCTCAGATGCAACGTTCTCTCCATGAAAAGACTGGGGCATGACTATGCACGACTCACAATAGGGACCCATACCCGCAACCACAACGCAAGTATCTGTTCGTGGGTCTGAGTCGGGCGCCGGCGCTGCCCGGATGCAGCCTTTGGTCCGGACCAGGTGGACGCCTTGCTGCCTGTGGGGACACATGTGTGCCATGTCTCAGAAGGTTCAAGTGTCCTTTTTTTTCCAAGGGGATGAGAATGGTGAATGGACACCAAAAGAGTTGAATGTGGGTTGTTGTTTGGACCTCTTGATGTATTGAGGGGGGCTGGGCGCATATGGATATATACCTTCTTCCCACCTGCCATTGAAGTGTCCATGCTTCTAGGTGCCACTCAAGCCATGCTCGTCGTGTTTTGAGCACCGGGCATGCCCTCCCTGTGCTCAATATGCACCGTCCCTGTTTTACCTGGGGCTCCATGACTAGGAAGTTCTCAACGAAAGCTCCGCAAAAATAGTTTCTCGTTTTGGGCCCGAGCGGCAGTGAAGAAACAGTGCTTGGCCGAAGCTGAGGTTGCAGCTGAAGGAGGGGCAGCAGCAATACGACATGGACATGGGTGGAATGAAGGCAGCTGGGATGAGGGTGGTGAATGCCAAGCTTACAGACTCACAGGCTGTCGAAGCTGAGTTTTGTTGGACTTCGGAGCTTTGAAGTCAGTAACCATGGTGAGTCGAACAGATTCTTGGGAGACTTGATCCATGTTGGCATTTGCTTCAAGAATGGATGGCGCTCAACCCCGCTTTGGGTGAAATGAAGAAACTACCAGCTATCAGCTATCGGTGCTGGTTCATGCTGCTGGTGAAGCGACATCTTCGCGGCTTCTTTCATCTTACGCCAGGTTTCCCTGCACTTGAAGGAGGTGGAGCAGGCCCTAGACCAGGCCGGGCCCCTCCACACCGACACCGAGCGCCCGCACGTGTGGAGCTGATTCGAGCTTGGCGCCAGGATGGTGACCCCAAGGAGACGGATGCTTCGGTCCGGGACTGGGAAGGAGACGTTTTCCATGCACAGAAGGCGAAAGCCATATGTGATCGAGTTGTTTTCGTTGGGGTGAGGAACCTGGTGTATAGGTGGACCTGGCACACATCCAGACATTGAGCGGGCTTTACAAGTAAAGGGTGCCAGAAACATTGCACTTCAGTACCTGACGCGACAAATCTTTTGGCTGCAAGTCGTGCAAGATATCAATATACTTATATCTACCATGTTCTTCCTTTTTCCCGCAGCGACAACAGAACCCCTGGTTCAGTGGTTCATTTTTGATGTCTGACTGATTGGATGGTTGCAGCCGAACGAGGCCAGCCATCGTCATCGAGTGGCGACCTGCCTGGAGAAGGGACGTGGGCGGTTCTGGGATGTATTGGTCCTGGCGTGGAGTGGCAGCAGTTAGTAGATCTTCGATGCCTTCAGAAGGTATGAAACACTCCACCTGGTAGGGAAAACTCGTTTGCAAAGTGCTGGGCCGGCTGTTGACATAGATGGCTGGCTGGGTGGAGGAAGCGTCCAGCGTCCGCTGCGTCCACTCATGGTTCGAGCCGCATTGATTGTATGTATATATATATATACACATGTCACATACTTATATAATATGAACACAAAGCAAGAAGTATACTTGCCAACCTGGCTGAACCGCAATCAGATCCCCTGAAGTCCTAGTATGACATGCAGTTTTACGGCCTAGCCAGCCTTCCGCTGAGAGCTCTTTGTGTGCCACCGGTGCGGCTGTTCGGCACGACGGCCATGTTGGACATCGCTTTGATCCTGGGGGGCGGTGGTTCTGTGGCACCAGTATGCGCATGGCAAGGAGCCATGGCAAAGTTCAATCGCTGACCAGTTGTCATGTTCCTGGTTTCCTTCAGAGTCAAACGCCAGCTGTGGGGGTATGAAACAGCCTTCGCGTTTCCTTCTGCGCCATGGGCCTCAGGACGTTTGGGCTGCCCTGGCCGCCCTCCTCGGTCGCGCGGGCGGTCGGGTGAGCGTGAATGCCGCAGGTGGAGCGGCAGCTGCTTCTGGGAAGGAGTGTCTGTACCCAGGTGGAAGAGCATGGGTAAGAACATCCAGGTTGATGTGTAAGAACGTCCAGGTCTCGCAAGTCTGGGATGGTGTTTTTTTCTCCAAAGGAGTTACATCACGCTTGAGCTACCTGAGTTCTCCTTGCTTTGGCAAAAATGTATTACAATCAGGAGTTGGGATTGTGCATTGAGTTTGGTCCTGTAAGAGTTGATTCTGTTCGGCCCCCCCCCCCCTGGATCAAATCCCCCCTGCGCCGGTTCACGCCGTCATGGACTTCTACCAGGGTTGCTTGTGATTGCCTGCTACCTTTCGTTCACCCCCTCCTCTCTCAAGTATTCATATTTTTTTTTGTTATTTAGGGTTTTGTCCTGATTTCCACCGATCTTTTGCCCGCGGTCGGCACTCGGACCGAGCAGGTGGCGGCCAATGAAAACGGCAGAAGCAAGAAGCTAGACATGGATTCTGAGAGACCTCAACCCCCAAAAACTCCAAACACATTCAACTTGTATTTGTGTAGCCATATTACCTCCACTTGGATGTTGCCAGGACTCCGCGGCGCGTGCCAGCATGAAGAAGCAGCTGGATAACCTGCGAATGTTGAATCTGGGTATTTGTGCCAGAATGGGAGTGCATACCCAACTCGCCTCCCAGCAGCGATTGGTCGTCGTGTTTTTTGATGGTTTTTGGGCACGGTTACCGTTTGGGTGACGATTCAGTTTGGTCAAATGCATTGAATGATCACCCTCCGACTCAGCAACATGGAAGTCGTGGAAAAGGGGCCCCTTGGATGCTGACACTTTTCCCGTACGAACAGCTCAGGGTGGTTGTGTACTTCCATGTTAGTGAGTCGCAGTGTAATCAGACAGCACGGAATGGCATCATGAACGGAGGGCAACAAGATTCTGCTGCTTCAGAGCATTGAGGCTTCGATCACTTAGTTTTTGGACTCAACATATGGTTGTTGATCCTGCATTCTTTGCTATTTTTATAGGCCTATTGTTCTCCAAAGCTCTTCAGGTTCTCATGATCTATGCAGCCAAGAAGATAGCAGAAGGCCATGATGATGCCTATTCCGACGTCCTTTTCCGTGCTTGCCTCTATGTTGCTGATCTTGATTCGGACTTCCCAAACAGGACCATGAATGGATCGACGAATGGACGATTTGCTTGGGATGTAGGTGGGATATCTGGATGTGGTTGCAGTTGAGAGGATAAAAGAAGCACATGGATCTCACTTGGTTCATGTTTCAGAGGCGGGCCCTTTGGTGCCAACGACATGTCGCGTTCAGCGACATGGAGGAGGTGCTACACATCACATTGGGTTTTTCAACCATCAACCAGTCATTAATCCCTTCTTACAAACCGTTCATCCATTTCATCATGATTCTGGCCAGTCTTTCACAGGTGCCGAGCAGGAGAAGAAGAAACACATATGTGGAAGGCCTTCCCACCGATCGCTTGAGCCGACGTGTCCCACACCCGTTTCCCGTTTCGGCTGTGGAAGTGCCATTGGACCTGGGAACTCAGGTTTGTTTCAGCTTGGCCAGTTTCATCTCCAAGCGGAACATGACGTACACAATCAGAACCTGGGCAGGAAGTCTAGGGCCCTCGGCATCCAACTAAGAATGTCCAAGAATTCTAGATCGAGGATAGAGTACAGCCACTTCTTCAGTGGGGTGAGATGAAATTCGCATCTTCAGTGGTTCCAGCCTCGCTGTGTTTTCCTCCGGGCTCTGCCGCAGCCTGCCATGAGGGCCCCTTTGTTTGTGCTTCTACCTGGCATTGCTGGGGAAGATGTGGGCCTGCTTTGACATGGCGCACTACCAGATCAACCAAGCCTATGTGGTGGGGAAGACCTGTTTGATGGCCGCCCTCTTCGTGGACATGTGGGTGGCGATCCCGCTCGGGCCGCTAGGGCGTTGGTGAGGTGGTGAGGTGTTGGAGAACGAACCGATTCCGCTACACTCTTGCTGGTGACCAGCGTTGTGAAGGGAAGTTGTTCATCCTCCTTTTACCATAGCAGATGGGGTCCTGGGGTTTTCATCACAGTTCCTCAACTCCCATGTTTTGTTCTGTACCATAGAGGGTTTTTATCTTGAGAATTCTTGGGATTGACCTCTCATGGTGAGGAGTGTGAACTCGAGAAAAAACGGGGATGGGGCAAAGTGACGTGACCAAACTCTTTTTTCCGCTGAGTTCACATGGACTGCGGCTGAACCACGGGTTCTGGCGGATCCTTTTCAGACTCGCCCCATCCCCACCATCTCAAGCGCAGCTGTGCAAAACTGAGGTTCATTGTCGCTGCAATGGACTGTCGAGTCTTCATCACAGTGGGCGGGCTTTTGGAGGAGAACGAAGTCTTCAGCCGCTTGACGTGCCTTGGAAGACTGAAACAATGGCCCGCTGGCCCTAGTGGGAGGGCAGTGCTTGTTTGGGGAGTGCGTCGGGGTAATTCATCAAAACGATCTGCTTGGGAGGGAGGGGCATGGGTTCGGATGGGTGCTCAGACAACATGCAGTAAGATCAGACCTTCGATTTCGTTTTGTGGGCATGTGTTCCGGGTCCCTGTTTCCAGTCTGGGAAGCCTGTCGTTTGCCAGCCTTGCTTGCTCCCTTCATGCACGGGACCGCGGGACTGTGGGAAGCTCTGCAAGGATCCTCATCCTCTACATCCTCATCCCGACAGTGGCAGAGATGACAGCGCGTCGATTCATCCAAGGTGGGAGGGGCTTCGCTGGACGTCACCGACAGTCTGCTTATCTAGGGCTGTCCAATGGTCACGGTGGTCTGTGTTCTCGGAGTGCCTTCCTATTTGTGTCCGCGGGTCCACGCGCGCCTGGACGAAGGCCTCTTGGATGCGAATTTGATGGTCGCGGGCTTCCGGAGGATGTTGAAAGGCATCAGCGATGGCGACTTCCTCACAGCACCTCGGCGCTCAGCACCGGCCACGGAGCTTTTGGGCGCCTGCGGGAGTGAGAGAGCAGGTGAGGAAGCAGGTCCACAGATCTACTGTATATATACAGTACGTATCATATCTTTTTATATTTACTTTTTATGTATGTTGGTACCCGCAACGTGGCCAAACACAGGGATGACTTCGCCTGCGTTTCGGCGGCTATCAACCACCCGACCTAGGTTCTGACGGAAAGGATTTGTTTTTTTCTGCTCCATTTCGATCTGTATTTTGTTGACGTACTCAGCCTTCATGCCCCGCCTCACCGGGGACGTTCGAACGAGTCTCTCTCCGCCGTGCTCGCCGTCCTCCGAGGATGGTGACTTCCGGATCCACAGCGAGGCCAAGTGCCTGGAGAACCTCTTGGCTTCCAAGGCCGGGAGGATGGGACAATCCCAGCGGCCAGTGGCGGCCAGTGACCAAAATGTACTGAGATTTGTGACCCAAATGTCCATTTCATTCCATTTCCATTGAGGATGTCGACATCGGCTGGCTTCTTTCCAGTGCACTTCTCTAGCAGGACTTCACTGGAAAGTCCTTCCTCTCCCTTCTCTGGGACGACAAGGACGCGGTGAGTCACCGCCGGCTCGCCGCCGTTCCCGACGCTTTCCCGACGCTTCGGCTTTGGCTGCGGAGGGAATGCATTGCGCTTGGTGCCTGAGATCGGCCTTGAGCTAAACACCCCGTGTGAGGGGCACCGAACGTTAGACCGAGCTGCCTGGTTTGGTGCAATGGTGCGGGGCCGTGATGTGCAAGCACCTGTGAGTGATGCGAGTTTGCATACTTTTATAATCTTCTATACTTGGGGCCCTGCTGACAGGAGCGGGAGGATTTCAAGCAGTTCGTCGAGGCATCCACGGATTGTCCCTCGGCCGTTGAGGTCGGCTTGGATGTTGCAGACCTGCCAGGACTTCCAAAGGGCCGAAGCGAGTAGTTGTTGTACCGTTTCCACCAACAATCGTTCGGGAGTTGCTGAACAGACATCTAAACTGCCTAAACTTCTCTAGATTTCTGGTTGGCATCAGGCCTAAAAAGCGAGAAGTTCCCAGTACCCTGGTTGGGCCTAAACTGACTAATTATGACATACGTCCTAGCATCTGAAAACCCTTAGCCGCTACGACCCACCTTCCACTTCTCAAACCTGGCTGGCACCGAGCTGGGGAGCACGCCCCGAGCACCAACCGCACCGCGCGGGCACGTCCCGAGGCGAGGACGACAGTGCACCAGCATGCCTCCGGCTCCACGTGCGCCGGAAGGGGTCGGCGATCGGCTTGGATGCGTGTGACTGGGCGAGACATGGCGCTGGGTGGGTGGGGGAAATTGTCCCAACGACTCCGCGCTCAAGGTGGTGGGGGTTCAAGAAGGCCGTGCAGTTCCGTGCCCCAGTGTCTTTGGTCAGGTCACGTGCGCGTGCCCGACTTGTTCGGCGCGGTGGAGCCGTATCACTTGATCGCCTTCAAGCAGGACCCGGAGCAAAGCGCGGAGGCCGAGGCGGAAGAGGCGGATCCTTGCATTTTCATTGGGGTCGTGGGGCTGGGAGGAGGGAAGGGAAGGTTTTTTTTGGGGGAGTTCCTGTTGTTCTTTGGAAGGTGTCGAGGTGATGGTGAACGAGTTGCTCGGGACCAAATGGCACCGGAAGGCTTTGGGAAGGCTTGTTCGTGATCAAATGCCTGATCAAAAGGCTGCTCTCTTTGAACGCGGCTGGACTTTGCTGGGGCTGGGGTGGGCTTTCTCGCGTGCTCAGGGGGGCAGCAGGTGGTCACAGTAGTTGTCAGTAGTCACGTACTGAGAACTCGTAGAGTTGGTTCCCTGGTTTTTTCTTGCTATCGTTGGGCTATGTGCTCAAGAGGCTTGGAGGCCAAATCCCCGGTGACTCTGAGGAACCGCCACCAGTGCCAGTGCCCACACCGCTCATGGATGACTCGACCGCCAGCTTGAGTGAGTCCTCGCTATGTAGCTGCCGTGCCGCGGATGGTGGTGAAGTGGAGGGCGGATGATGGCGATGTCCCCAAAACCACTCCTTGGGGTGCTGGAACTCGGGTGCTGGGAAGGCTGAGGATGTCGGGTGGATGTGGTCCAAGCTTGTGTACGGCCTTGAAATGTTGTCGTGGATTGAAGGTGCATCTCGACACTGGGGCCAAAGAAGCCGGCTGCCGGCTCTATTCGGTTCCTGGGTGTTGGAGTGAAGGGAAGCATCAAGCATCCGAATTTGGACAGTTGTGAACCAAAAGAGCGGACAACTGACAATGTAATGTATATATATAGGATTTAAGCGCCCCAAATCTGGCTTCGAGGGAGTTCGTCACGTTTGAGACCGCTGAAAAAATGGCGACCGCTGGGCTTACCAGTAATCACTTTGTAATATTGTGATCTCATGGAGTGACTCATGTTACATGGGCTTGCTAGTTAGTATATACTGTAGATACTTTGATTGCTCAAGATCAGAGGACCAGTAGTAGTTACTTTGTTACATGCGTTGCACAGGAAAAGGTCCTACGAATCGAACTTGCTTCCGGATTCGGTGGCTGAGCCAAACTTCTCTGAGAAATGGCCCCACTTCTCGAGGTATGGTGGACTCACTGAAGGGGCTTTGTGAAGCTTGGATCTGGAGAAGATGAAGCTTCAAAAGGGATGGTATGCAGTTGTGTGGGACAAAGTTGAACAATGTGAAAGCAGGGCATGCTTGGATTGAACACAGAAGCCACAATTTCATTCAGGTTAGCTGGGTTTGGAGTTGTGGTGCGAGGGCTCTTAGATGATCAGCCGCAGACACCTTCATGTGTCAGGGAGAATGTTGTACCACAAGTTGTAGGGCCTCCGATAACTGGTTATGCCTCCGATCTTCACCGGCCGCAGGCAGAAAGGACGAAAACGGTCCAGGATTAAACATTTTTGAGGCTTCCGAAGTGGCAGGGGAGCCTCAACTGTGGCATTTTGGCCAAGATCCCATGAGTTCCACCCCTGCCAAGTCTCGAGAATCGATCCAAAAACCACGAAAGACGTACCCGTTAGGAGATGACCTTCCTGTTGGATGGGAACTCAGAGCACTTTGATCTTTTAGAGGCCGGCAGTGCCCGTGGTTTTGGCCGCCCGTCGGTGGTTAAGTGGTTTTTCATCCATTTTTTTCTTGTAACGGTTTCCTCACCTCCTGGTTTGGCTTAGCACCCTTGGGCACTTATTTGTGCCTACCAGCCTGTATAGCAGCATAGTCAGAGTCAACTCCAGTGAACGTGGATTGTGGTGTCACAATTTTCAATTGAGGCAGAACTAGCTGGTGTCTAGCTGCTAGACTCTGCAGAGAGAGAGAGAGAGATCTTCAGATCCCAGAGGATGCTTTCCAAGACTGAGACTCATATCAACAAGAACATGGAACGAGAGGTGGCAAGCGCATATTTTTGTTCGGACCCATAGTGCCGCCTCGTCGCGCGCATGGGCGATAATGCTTCACGGTCGTTCTTGGGCCGTGGCACTTCAGCGGACTCACAGTGAGAGTTCTTCCCATGGATGGCCTTGAGCCAACCTGCTTGGTTCATGAAAAGGTTGGATCCCTGCCCTGACCAATAGGACTACTACCTCCAGGTTCCCCCAGGTCGGACCCGGGTTTCTCCCCGGGGGCTCTGGAGCCTGGGAGTCCGACGGAGCGCAGAAAGACCAAGAGCCACCCTGAAATCATCATGGAAGTGGACAAACCATGAAAAACCACCTGTTTGTAGAGGAAAATGGGTTTGGACATGGTTCTCTTTGGCACGAAGCATGATTCTTCCAGGGAGTGTCAGCCTCTAAACGAACGCGACGCAATGCCCAGTGGAGGTGGAGGTGGATTTGAGGTGGATGAGGTGCCTCCCCACGGGCCTCCATCGCCGCGGAGGCCCACTTGAGATTTGCTCGGACCGCGGAGGATGCTTCGGGCATGCCGCACTTGAGGAAGTTTGCGAGGCCCACGGATTGGGGCTGGATCAGCGAGGAAGCTCAACTGGAAAAAGGGGGCAGGGGAAGCCTTCAGGGCAGAACATCACCCCTGATATGTTCTTCGTTCTTCTTCCTTTGTTCTTTTGCTTAACTTGAAAGGAAGTCATGGCCACTTCATAGCCAGGGTCAGGGTTTGTCCCTTTGATTGACCATGCTTGGCCTTGACACTCACTCGGCCATGAAGCAGGTGTTGTTCATTGAATACCACGGAGCCCACCTGAAATTCAACCTTTGCCCACCAGATCTGATGACACCATTCTTTGCAGGGCTTTCTTTGTATCGGAGTCTTGGCTTCATCTTCCCCCCTTCAGACACCAAGGAGCTCACCGACTACATCTGGACCTGCTACTCCGAGCGCTGTGTGCCACCACCAGCGGTCTTGCAGCCGATGTACTTTCGGGTGCCCGGCGCTGAGGCCGAGAGGTGCGGGATTGCAGGGTCCGACGCACGGAGGGAGTGGGGAGGGAGTGCAGGCGCAGGACTTCCGAACCTGGCGAAAATAACATGAGCCGGATTGCTGATGGATGGGTCGGATGAAGGTTTTTTTCTCAGAAAACATCTGGAGCTCGGCCAGGTACTTGTTCGCGCGGAACGTGGAGCTTCAGCTTGCGTCTCCCCTCTTCGTGCATCGCGCGGCGCGCGTCCCAGACGGGACAGATGAGAAATCTGAGGCAGCGCCCTTGCGCTTTTACTTGCACATGACAGACTTTGCACCCAACCGGCGCCAAGTGCCGAACCTGGGGCTAATTAGTGAAAATGTGTCTGAAGACCTCTCAGGAGAGTCTGACAAATCGGACTGATCTGACGAATCGGTGGTTGTGGTTTTAAGGAGCGTCAGATCTTTTCACCCAGGCCCGAAGGGCAGAAACAGGCGGTTCTATCTGCACTGGGCAATGTCCCACAGGGCCAGTTACAGGAAAAGGAGGCGTGCTGAGGTTATGCAAGTTGGCTTTCAAGTCCATTCCTACCGCTGCAGTGCCAATCTCTTGAATGCCTTGGCTGATTGACCTCGGTCCCTCTTTGATCATCTTCGCTGAACAGGTTTTCCACTTGTTCCAGACATGTGGCTCCAGCCGTCTCAGGCCATCTCGGCGAGGAAGTATTTGGATGAGCATCAGTTGCTGGGCTGGGCTCATAGGCGGGGCGGGCTGGGTCGCTGGGTCGGGCTGGATCGCTTAGGATCCGGAGTTGGAGGGCACAACAGATGCAATAGATGTAGATGAGATGTGTCACGCATAAGAAATACATCCCTCTTTTCATGACAACATGCCCAGGCACTTGAATCCTAAAGGGCTCTGGCATGATCTCCCGAACTGTGGTATGCTGTCCATCAACAGCGCAGCTTGAGCTTTGGTTTCTACCAGCTGTCATTAAGTCAGCACAGAATGCAACGGATCCACTCAGGTGTCCATTGTACACTCAGGTGTGTTGATCCTCCATTCCAAATGGTCCAAGCAGTCAACCGTCTTGCATTCTCTCTCTCTCTCTCTCTGCTTGAATTCAATCGGCGTCCTGGACTGTTATTTTGGCTCTCTTTGTTTCCCAGCATGAGCATTGAAATTAGGGTCCTAAAGGAGGCGTATGGCATGGTATACAGTTGCAACGCCCATGGCACAATCTTGGGGATCCAGGGCAGCCATGTCACACCATGAGCCGACCGCTTTTGCCCTGCATATGCCCTGCAGACACCCCAAAAGGAGATTGAAGACTCCATCTCAAGTAGGCCACTGATCCAGTAGGTCTCCTGGGCCGCTATTGTGTCCTCCCAGCCACTCTCTGCTTCATGATCGGCATCCCGATCATCTCATCCCCAATCTTTCAAAAACAATACGTGACCTTGCATGGTGCTTTGGTCAACTCAACTGGATGCGCCATGGCCTTACGTCTCCATGTGGCGCTCGTGAGTGGCAAGGAGGCTGGAATCGGACCAGAAGCAGCTTCGGGGTCGTGTTGCCCAAGTCCTCAGTGTGTCATGCCCAGGAATATGTTCCAGCTTCAGTCACTTAGGTCCTATACGGACCCCATTTTAACATTCCCTTCCAGTCCAAGGAGTGAATCCCGGGGTCGTGCGACGGGAGTTGCCAGGTGTCACTGGAGGCTTCGCCTGAGTGGACGCTGGGGCAGCTGAAGCGGCGCGCGCAGCAGGCGCTGGGCACGAATGTGGAACTACTGGAGAAACGTGCCGCAGGCGCTGGGCGTAGGGGAGCTGGTGCGCGGATGGAAGGATGAGCACAGACCGAATGCCATGTGTGCTTTTGCGTTCAGGAATGTGGCTAGAGAATTGCTCAAGAAGTAGATCTTTCGCTTATTCTTGAGTCTTTACCTTGAATGATCAGATCTAAGTCCTGCCAAATCCACCAGTCTCCTGCTGCTCAGGCCTGAGAGCCGGGTCCTCATTGGCTGAGATGGGCTTCCAGGACGATGAGGTGCTGAGCGCCGTGGTGCGCAGCCCGAACATCGTGTCCAACAAGTGTAAGATGCAGCGCCAAGGCAGCAGCCGGGTGATGAATCTGAATGTTTTTTTCCTTAGGAAGGAGGCGAGCTTTTCTGTCGATCAAGACGGTGGGACTGCTTGTTGGGAGGCGATTTTTGTGGCATAATAGAGGCTGTCCCCCACGACCGAGGGTGGTGAAGAGCCCTGCCAGTGCTTTTGCGCTCATCCGCAGTGGCATGGCTCGATGGGCGGGCCCCACGATCGGAATCCGTTCGTTCTTCGTTCGGGAAGACAAAAGACTTCAAGGAAGCGATTTCGGCTTCCGATGCTACACTTTGTCAGCCTGTTTTGGACACTCCCTCAATTGGAAAGTCCACCAACATTGGGGGCTGATTCGACGATTGCTGAACAGCGGCTGAGCGAGAGCTCAAACCAACACATCCAGCACCCACACACACTCACATCCAAACACACGTCGAACCCACCGTTCACGAAGAACAACACTCATTTTTTTAAAGGAACTTTACAGATTTTTCCTCTGGCTATGGAGTTCTCTCTGTCTCTCTCTGTCTCTCTCTCTCTCTCTCTCCGCCTTGCATCCGATCTGCTCTTCCAAGTTAACTGCCTTGGCCAAGGCGACGGCTCCGTGGTGACGTGGGGTGGTCTGGGCGTTCCGGTGCCCGAGGGGCTGGCCGAGGTGCAGGAGATGGCCGCGACGAGGGCGGCCTTCGCAGCTTTAAGCCGTTCGGTGTGAGACAGCGGGCTTTTCAATGAGTTTGCCTCAAGGATGAGAGCCACCACACAGGGACCAGAGGATTTCGAGGTTGCTTGTGTGACCATATCCATAGACACGAGACAACAGAAAAACAAGTTTGCTGGGCTTGAGTGTCTTTTTGAGCTTCCATCATTTCCCTCACGGTGAGCACGACCTCTGCCGAGAGGCACTTTTTGGGAGATGTGAGATATCCTTGGAACCATCATCTTTGTACTATAATATGTTTCGCATGATTGGGATGCAACCAGCCAACCATCCTGTATCACCCCACAGGGCGTATTTGGGACTTGGCTTGGCGCGACCCAACCGATGCACCGCAGTCGGGCTCGGACCTCCACCGGCCCCGTGCCAAACGGTGCGCCATGGCGGGAAGGCCTGGCTTGGACACCAAGGATGCGATCGAAAACTACCGGGCGACCATCCACATGGAGACCATGCGATTGAAAAAAAGGGGCTTCAAACTGGCAGCTTGTTGTGCCCAGTGATGCAGCGTTGTTGTTCCCTTTTTCTCCGGGCGGCTTCCAGAATTTTGTTCTTGAGAACTTAAGGCACACCAATCTTATCACACACAATCACTTACGTAATGTGTATTTGCCCTCCTCCAGGAACTGTGGCCATGCACAAGTCTCCATTCTGGAGGCTCACGTAGTAACTAGTGATCTGCGCACACAATGACCGGTGTTGTTTCCTTCACCTGGCCGAGCTGCAAATAGTTCTTTTGCGGGAACGAAGACACCGCTCCGCGCATTCCGAAACGGCGCAGGAGAACAAGCTGCAGCGCGAATGGGTGGAGCGCTGGGGCTTCTTCAAGGCACCCCAGCGCCGCTTTCGCTCCGAGATGCGGAAGGAGAAGCTAGCGAAGAGTGCGAGCGCGCCGGTGCTGGCGGCCGCCGGCCAGGAGGCCCTGGCGTGGAGAGAGAGAAGATTGATATATAGAGATGATAATGATGATAGAGATTGACCATTTCAGCCTTCCAAAGTAAGATCGGTGAGATTGAACCGAACACATTGCATTTGGATGCATTTTGGGATTGCGGGAGTCATTCTTGACAATTGGGAGGTGAAGGGTTGCGTGACAGCTCCGCTTGTTTTCACACAACTGCAAGGGCTTTGGAATTCGGCAGCCGAATCAACTTAATGTCAAGTTATGGACCAGAAGTGGACAGGAAGGCAACATTTGTGAGTCCCGATCCAAAACCCACAGATAAAGACGGACCAGTGTTTTTAGATTTAGATGCGACAAGAACATGTCAACCGCACACAACAGACCTATATTATTTACACACCCGACCATATGCATACAAGAAGCAACATGATACACCTGTTTTCCTCCTGAATTCGTTGGGCAGGTCTTGACTGAATCCACCACCAAGAGCAGCTGGCCTCCACCGGCGCCGGTGGAAACCATCGACTTCATCAATGATCGACAACGGCTGATGCATCGGAAGCGGCTGCTTCCCCAGCAGCGCTATGCTAAACCCAACTGCACCAGCCACCAATATGGTTGGAAGCCAACCATTGAGAGGTGGGGAAGACAGAAGATCTGACAAAGTGGCGTGTTGAGGTCCAGAGCCGAAAAGACCAGGAATGGCAGTCAATCAGCAATCAGGGATCAGCAACCTATTTGAGTGATGTCGACTGGAACCAGCCAGATGTTGAACTTCCAAGGAAAAACCCACAGACCGCTAAACATCAACGACTTGATTCGCCGATTTCTGAAGCCACTGTGATGGAAAGGGGGGCTGGGGGGGTTTTGTGGTGGGCAAGGTGGGCATGATTGATGTGCAAAGCAACTTTGATAAAGTTGAGCCCACTTTTGTATACAGATAACTTCAAGTAAACTGCCCCAGTCCAGTTCTTTTTGGCCATCAGGGAAGCCGAACACATTCCCGAGGAAGATGGGCAACATGTCCACTCCCAGGATTGCCCGTCATCTGCACAGGTGGGGTGTGGCTCAGCACGGTGTCCGGAAGCTTGAAGAAGGAATGATGCCAGATGACATCAATTGCACGATGATGCACACGCTCTATGCCAAGAAGTGAGACTGCGACTCGAAGCTGACGTCGCGACCTGATTGCCCGAAAGACGCCGGGACAGTCCTTTTCCGAGGTATATATCGTCATTTCTTCCAGTTTCTACCTGCAAGGATTGCATTGGCCATGGGGTTTGTCGTCCCGATTCTTGTGGGTGGGGATGGGAGGGCTGCTCTCCGACGTTGGCGGGCCTCGTTTCACCCCGGCACGAGAATCCTCGCCAAAGGCGGGGGGTTGGACCACTGATGGATGTTCGGGGAAAAGACACCGCTGACACGTTGCCGATCAGGAGACCTTCAGTTTGACCAGATACAACATGATACAAACAAACCGTGCTCGTACAGCAAAATAACCATCATCGTGAGCATTTTCCAAGTCCATGATTGCTGGATAGAGCATCGTCGCCTGTTTTGCAGATATTGGGAGTATTTGGGACTTGTGGATTAGCATTTGCTCACCTTGCTCAAGTCTATAGTGACTTCTCTTGGAAGGTGACCTTTGGGACAGAGGTGCACGTTGAGGCTTCGGGCCTTATGGAATGCTGAAATTCTCCTTGACCACACTCAAACCGTGCAAAGAAAGAAAGCCAACACGAGCAGACTCGGGCGGACGTTTGGGATGGCATTTTTGGGGCATCGCTATTTCATCTTAAACTTTTGGTTCCCTGCCAACATAAACACAAGGGGCTTTCCATGTGCCGCGTTGTGGATTTCCTAAGAGATGTTGAGCGATGTGAGTGAGTTCTTACATGACCTCCAGCATGTGCACCAGAGAAAATGCAGCAAGGAGCATGAATGTCGAGTTTCTGGAAGTTCCCTCCCACAATCTGGCGTTTGCTTTGGGTACAAAGTTGCAAACATAGTGCTTAGAACTTAAAAAAACCATCAACAACCATTGCTCATTTGGCCCCTGACAGAGAGCACGTACGCTTGATATGATGTTATTAGTATTCATGTGTATTACCCAGTATGTTGCAATGCTGCAATGCTTCTTTTCCAAACACCATGTACGATATATGTCGCATGTACGTGCTCTCACCGGCCGCCTCCCGCGCCGAGGGGCCGATGGCACCGTGGTGAGCTGGGGAGACCCGGAGGCGCGCTCTGCGTCGCCTAAGTCGCTACGCCCCGGCACGGACATTCACCTGAAAACCACGGGTTTTTGTAGAGGAAGCTAGGCTTCCCAAGGCCCATGTTCAGGTTCCACGTTAATCTTCCTGGGCGTAAGTAGTTGTAGTCACCATGGTCTTTGGCACATGCACGTTCATCTTCCCAGTTTCAAGCCCAAAGGCTACCGGAAAAAGACTCGAAGCATGCATGACCAATTGAACCCTTGGAGTGATTGCCAACAGAAAACGTCAAACCTGATAGATAGATATATATATATAATATATATATATATATTCATGATTGTTGTCAAGAGCAAAAGTCCCACCGGGACTACCCCCCCAAGCAATCATGGAAGCAGACGACCTCCCCTTGTAGAGGAACATCGTCTGACCAGGGGGCATGCCATCCACTTCCATATTCACTTCAGGAAGCGTAGATAGCAAATTTGGAATTGGAAGAACTGTATAATATGAAGTACTGACAGAATGACGGAAACTGGCACAAGAGGGCGGTGGTGCGAGGGTGGTGATGTTTGGCGATGCCTTCGCTCGAGGAAGGTGGCTCGGAGTCGGTGCAGCACTTGGTGGAGGTGTCGAGCCTGGTGTCCACGTCTCGAGCCTTGCATCCGAAGGGAGAAGGGCGCTGGTGGATAGAAGCATCCCGGAAGCCGGGAAGGGAAAGCGACCGCTGGAGCGATTCGGAGTGTATTTGTTTTCACGAGGACCTAAGGTCCACACGGGATCGTATGCCCGCCATGAGCGACCTGGCCTGGGGAGATTGGAGGAGGCTTGATGAGTCTGATGGCGATGGGTTCCAGGTGAAAGAGAGCTTATCCTGAGGTGGGGTTGGTTTTGCCACACTCGGTATGTACCCGACTCACTTCCAACACTATGTCGATTGCTGAGCACAGCTGTGTTAGACTTATATTTAAATGGAAAACTTCCTCCCTCCCTCTGACCGTTTGCAAAAACCTGGTTCCAACAATCTTCTCATCAAAAGTTCAGCTCTCCACTTCACCGGTTAGCTCTCTCGCACATTGCTTTGGTTATGTTGCTCTCACACACATATTGCTCCACAGCCTCAGAGTGACCTGGGAGGCTTCCCGCTCAGGTCGGTCAAACCGAGGTCCACCGATGTGGCCCACCTGGCCCGTCGAGGTAGAAGTTTGACAGTTTGACCGGAAAAAAAGACACGGATCGATGTCAACACGCGATCTGTCGATCAGTCGATGCGTGTTTTCCTTTTTCTTTTGGGGTAGTTCCCCAAACAGTTTACTGTTGGAGTTCTATCTTAGAAAAATAGAGTTGGCCACACTCACTGGCCGCGCCCTGAACTCTGTGGCTGGGCTCTGTGTCCAGAGCTTGTCCTCTTCTTGTCCTCTCTGGCTGGGCTCTGTGGCTGGGCTCTGTGTCCAGGCCTTGTCCTCCTCTTGTCCTCTGTGGCTGGGCTCTGTGGCTGGGCTCTGTGTCCAGGCCTTGTCCTCCTCTTGTCCTCTGTGGCGGGGCTCTGTGTCCAGGCCTTGTCCTCCTCTTGGCCGCGCCCCTGAGCTCTGTGGCTGGGCGCTGTGTCCAGGCGATGTCCTCTGTGGCTGGGCCTTGTCCTCTTCTTGTCCTCCTCTTGTTCTTGTCTTGGCCGCGCCCCTGAACTCTGTGGCTGGTCTCTGTGGCCCGGTTTGCTGGAGAGGAGTGTGGCCGAAAAATAGCGATGTCAATGCCGACAAAAATTCATTGGTGAAGCAGTTTGCTCTTGGGGTGAAGGTGGGGCGTACCAAGAAATCAATTTTTGACCATCTTTGGTCTAAGCGAACCGTTTCGAAGCTGTTTGGGGGCTATGCTTGTAATATAGCTTGTTTTGATGTGGCTCACCCGCTAGACAATGCCCCATCCTCTTCCGATCTCTTCAGCCCAGGGGCCTTTGCCGCCATCGTGGGGCCCGACGCTCGAGTGGAGGCCTGGGGCGCTCCCGGCTCGGGCGGCTGCTGCGCGGAGGTGCAGGAGAGATGTGGAACGGCGGGTTGGGTTAGGGCGGAGAGTCAACAGAATAGCTCATGCAGACTGTTGACAAAAGTTTTTTTGCTTTCCAGAACGGTTTTGCATCTCCAATCGTGGGGATTTGTTTGGTGAACAGGGGTTTGTGGAAGTGCCCTCTAAAGACCTTAGTAGGCCTGGCTTTGTTTTAAGAAAAAACTGGGCAATCATTTGAGCAGTAAAAAGCTTTTGAAAGTAATCTTGAGATTTGTGTGGCGACATTTATTGATGTTGACTACTATTCTTGTGATCCCGTAAATGGAAGCATATAACCATGGGTCGGCATTTGTTGAAGATATATCGACTTGTCTTGGGTTTCGTTTCCTGGACCGTTTTGCAAACAAAGATGATTCTTCAGAATATCAATGACGCCATATTTGCTTTTTAAGCGTTGGTCGACACGCCGGCACACACATCACGCAAAGATATGTCCAAAAAATCAGTGCCATACTTTTGAAACCACCTATATATCAGTAGAAAAACCACAGACCTCTTAAATCGGAATCCAGCCAAGCACAGTCCTTCTGAACTCTTCAATTGTAGAAATAAAGACTGTGTTGATGAATGCCGAAACGCCTTGAGTGGAGGACATCCCCAATTGCATTAGCTCGCTGAGGAAGTCTGTCCTGCTCCTTTCCCCCCAGGAGGGGCCAACCGGACACCCAAAAGGCGCGCCCCGTATATCATCCAACATATTCCAACCTATGAGTTGTTTTTCTTCCTTTGGTCCCTTGGTGAGAGCCACTCGCCCGTCCTGAGCTCCCGTTCCGCGGATCGCGCCGTCGCGGACAGGATCAACTGCATCGGGTGACCTTGCTGGCCTCCACGGACGCAGCCTTCGCCGCCCTGACGGAGGCGACGGGGGTGCGACGGGCGCGGGGTGCGGAATGGGCTGAGGAGGTGGGTGGGCAGTATGTGCGAGTTAGGAGGGGGGAAGGACCTTGATAGCAGACCTGTGACATGCACATGGTTTGAGTTTGGCTCCTCACGTGTGAAAACAGGCATTCCGATTGTGATCGGGGCCGCATGGGGCAGAACATGTTTTCCTCCTTGGCATATAGCCATGGGCCAAAACGGGGGGGAACTTGATTGATCGATCAAAAGGAACAGAGTGGACTACCAGGGGAGGTCAACCAACCAGAGTTCTTGAGTCCGATCGCGCGACACATCTGCGGTCTGATCATCCCTTGCTCTGTGTGAGCGGAATGACAGACATCGACAAACACCGCGAGTGTATTGTATGCGTTGCGAATTTAACACAAGACAACGACGGATGTCCCCACATCTAAGTGCACGTGGAACAGACAAGTAAAAGACGTGATTTACGATGTCGTGGAGTGAACATTGATGATGAACTTATTGTGGAATTGCATTTGCCGTGATATGACGACCTGCCACGAATAACGTCTGAGTTTGTCTTCGAGTTCAACTCGATTTTTACAGGAAACTCAGGGTGGGTGGGCACTTGCAAGGTAGGCTCACACCGAGGTATACACAGAGGCTATTAGAGTGAAGATACCCAAACCTAAGGCCATAAAGCTAGGACACGCTCTCTTAGGCTAGTCAAGTGATGTAGTTTGCGTACGTGGTGCTTCGTACCCACGCGGAGAGTTTCTGCTTGAAGGCGAATGCTGCGTTGTTTTGGTGGTACCAAGACAGCTTCCGGGGGGCATCTATGGCGCATGGTTCTATTTTGGCACAAGGCTTTCGTTTACCATGGCTTAGCAAACAGGTATATCATCGGAACCCTGTGTGCAGCATGAACGCAACTGATCGTATCACCCATTCGCACTTGGGAATGTTCACTAGACTGCGCCATCAGTCTCAGTGAGAGTCTGAGCTTCAGGACGGCTCAGTGGTCACTTGGGGCTTC